ATCTGGTTAATGTCAAAAGGAAGAGAGTGTTATAGTTTGATTTAAAATACAGTTTTTCCACCAGAAAAAAACATTTTACTACACTTTCGTTTCCGTTACGTAGCTCAGAAAATCCCTGAAAGCGTTTTAATATCATTACTGCTAATTCTCCATTGCTGTTGATTATATATTCGTAACTGAAATTTATTTTAGCAAACGATGAACATAAATAATGTCCATATATTGTAACCATTTTGTTTCACTGAGCCCAACTTATCAAATACCAAATGTGACATCAATATATCAGAATTAATATTTTAAAATATTGAAGTGCTTATTTTGGAAATTTGACTTCAGTTTGACGTATTGTTACTATTAAATTAAATTACTAACATAAGCAAAGATAGCGCTAAAATGCTTTTTTTTGTCATCAGGTTTTACTATCCTTACCAATTAATCAGTAGTGCAAAATGCAAAATGTAAATTATCATACTACTTGTAATTCAAATATATATGTAAAAGATCAACAAACCTCCGATCCAGCAAAGTAAGATATAAGCGACGTCCATGACCACTCCGGAGAATCTTGGCCGTATATCCTGTTCCCGAACCTTTTCGATAACGCACGCATAATATAAAGAAACAAGTTAGGACTCCCCGTGTGATCTCCGTAATGATGCGAAGTTTATAGATCACACATGTATATAGAACTAAACATCAGTATTCCTATCATAAAAATGATCTACGCTTTGGCTATATATCATTGTTACATTTACAGATAACTGTCATTTAAATATATAGGCAAAACGTATAGTCGATATACCTTTCAAAAAAAATCATAAATATTTACACAGTTCCTTTGCGAACATATATCAATCAATTTCATAAGTCAGTACTGATCATCAGAGTATATACGCTGGGGATAATTGTTGTATAATTAATGATTCAGTGGATGACATACGGTATTCCTACCAAATCACCCGTAATACGGAAAACCACGAAGAATACAGTTTATTGTGTTCAGTGTTAGCTATTTACATGAATAATAGGTTATCAACAAAGCCCTATATTCATGACATATGACCAATATCAATCAATCAATCAAACTATTCATTAAGTGATGACCAATATCAGTCAATTAAACAGTATATCAATGAAGTATGACTTGCTATATATAGCAAGAATTGTTATCCTGCCAAATAATAATTGTAAAATTACTAAACAAATTTATAACAAAAGCATTTCCTTAAAAACAATGATTTATTGTCTGTATATGGTAACATTTGACACAAATGATAACACAACGGATAACAAAAACCAAAAGGCAAACAGTTGTAGGTTCACTATAATCCATGGATAGGGTGTTTAATTATTAAAGTTATTGAATTTCATCACTCCGAGCTTGATCATAAAAGTGCATAACCGAAAATGTATAGACTTTCAGAAATTGCAACAAATTATTTTATTACCAAAAGGACCAGAAACATATGCAGATATGCTTAATATAATGCAAAATATATCCGATTAATCCAAACATGTGCCTTGCATCAAAGCTGACTTTTTAAATGCACATGGGATATTTACCAAACGGCAATTGAAAACTTATTTTATTAGCTTTCGAAAACGTCTGTTTTCTTTATCAAACAAACTTAGTCTTTATTTATCTTAGGCCTTATATTTCAATTTATATCATATGAAGATGTATTATGAAGTTTCACTGTGCCGGGATTATTTGTTTATTTTTATATAAGTACATTTTTACATAGAAACGCCATGAGTTGTAACACTATGATTTCGAAAAAAAATATTGTAAGGAAATTTGTACTTGAATAAATATAGAATAATCAGAAAAAACGAAAATTAATACTTTACCACAATACAGGTTTATATACTTTATTGCTGATATCGATAAAAGTGTATATAGAAAAAAAAAATCACTCCTCTCAACATTCGAATAAGAATCAAATACAATAGTGAAAAACGATGGGAAGTTTTATCCGGAATATATAAATGAACTGTATACACAGATGATTTAAATGTGGCGATGTAAGCTAAACTGATATATACATAACAACCGATCGGTTGCAAATCAATCATCATGAACTTCTGAGTATATTAATTCAATCTTAATAACTACTGTAAAAAATACAATAATTTTTAGATGAGTTTCAATGGTTTTCTTTTCAAATAAGTTAATATCGATGACTAATACGATTTCAGCAAGACACCAATAGTAGTATTATAGAATATGTAACATTCATGATGTACCATCAACGCGATCTGGTTATACATTTTATGATATAGTAACACACACATGGACACGCACAAAGCAGTTAGAGTATATACATTAACAGCAATCATTTAACGTTGTTTCAAAAACAAGGTTTCTGTAAGTATTCCTCCGGGAATAAATGTCCTCTACCAAACGAACGATGTACAAAAGTTAGCAAATTGATATAAGGTCAACAGGGAAGGATATCCGTCGATAAACGGCTGATGTCTATTGAGGAGAGAACATTGTGTGCAGTACAGTTTGTTAATGATGTGATAGATTCATCAGTTTATATTTATAATTAGAGAATGAATGGATGAATGAAATCATTAAGTGATTTTTATTGAGCTACCAAAATGTTATAAACAATATCTTTGATGCAAATGTTTGATAATTCTATGGACAGTTTTCTTTGTGATCTTGCAAATATCTGTTCCATGAACATCTGGACGTTTGGTAGTATACAATTTCTCAAAAACGTCCAAATGAAACTAAAAGTAATCATGCATTGCGAAAAAAAAGTTCCGAAAACACAAAAACGAAACCATTTATCTTAAAGTATGATAAAAAGAGGATATCAAGATGTGACTTAATCTATACCACTTCATGTTAATTTTTAGCGAAACATTGTGTAAAAACTACTTTTGATATTCAAAATATGACAGAATTCAAAGATTATTATTTTGTCATAAAGGCTGTTAGACAGCCGTAAGGAAATCCAATTTGATGTACAAACTTTTTTTCATAAAGCGATAATTTGCAGTTCCTTATATCAAATCATACATACATATGTTAAGTACAGAGGATTATTACTCTGAGAAAAGGGAATACATTTTGCTTCAGTTTTAACATTTTCTGTATCGGTTTGAAATAACACCACATGCCAAGTTTTAGTTCAACATATCAAATATCACGGCAAAACCATATAGGACAGACGGAATATGTAACATTGAGGAGAGAACATAACAGAAACGGATTTGGATCATATGTGTCCTTTGTTAAGATTAGTGGGGGACAAATATATAAACGTGGGAGTGGTCCATCGTGAAACCCTCCATTTAAATGAATGGACACTACTGCTGTTTCTTACTGTGATATAAACAGCTTATATAACATAAAGTGTTCATGGGATTTCTTAAATGCATTTGTTGTTAAAGATAACTCTTCTTAGTTTTATTTTTTTGATATATGTAGTTTTAAATATCTGAAATCAACGAGCACAGGACATATTCATATTCACATGTCTATTGGGGCTCCATGTATGTAAAATGGTTATATTGTTCATATTAAAAACAAAATGCAAAGGTCACTAACTAATTAAATGATGACACTTTATCTTCAGACGTCAAACTGTTATATCATTTTCTCTCACGTAAGGTCTTATACATAATTAATCTAAAGAAACCGGACCTGACATTTGCTTCTTTGTAGAAGGGTTTAAAAAGGGCATGCGTCATAGTTCTGACGTAACTTTCAAATTTGTTTTTGAATAGTTTAGATCAATATTGTATAATAAATTAAACCATGCAAATAATACTATAAGAATCACATAAAAAACCTACCACATTGTGTTTTAAAGACATAATAAGAACGTCTGAGTGAGGAAACTTGGGTGAAAGGTACGACGGAAACCGTGAAATCAGTAGGTGTGCTGTGCCATGGGAACACGTAAGACACTTCAGGGAAATAGCGATGTGTCATATATACCGTGTATCAGGAGGATATTGGGAAATTTTATATTTATTTGAACAACATGAAGATCGATATTTTGCAGAATTCCCATTAATGGGTCTTGTTATGTTACAAACACCCCTGATCTCATTTAAAGGACGCTGCTTAGAATTTAAATCCAATCAGATTTAGCAAAATCGCTCTCTTCAGGAACACGTGACGATATTCCTTGTCCTTGTTTAAGACTTCCAGGTAAATATTTCATTTGTTCGCCCTACTTTTATCACGAGTTGGAATAAGTTTCGATCACGATGACCAAATTAATAACAAGAAGAAACACATAGCAAAAAAATAAAATTTTGAGATGATGAATAAAACTATATAATAAGAAATAGAAAAATCCATTTTATAGCACGTAGATACACTTGTAGCATGATACCAACAAAACAACGGCTTAAAACTGGCTTTCCTCTACACCACTTAGTACTGGTGGACTCTGAGCATGTACCGCTGTCGTACGTCGGCAACGACAGAACTGTAACACATTCAGCAGGTCAATGGAGACGAGAAACAGCAGAGGAATGACAAGCATCGAAATACCCAGACCTCCTATATACTGTGACGATGTTCGTGGATCCGACGAGGACATTTTCTTTCGAATAGCGACTGAAATTCAAAATGTCGATACATGTAGAATGTAAATAATTAATTCCATATCAATGTTGAACAAGTTTTCCTGATGTAGTACGTAACTAAGTCTATTTAGAATTATGATGCTCAGTTGTACGAAAGACGACATATATACAGTGTGAGTCATACATAATGATACGTATAAAATACAATAAAAGATGTGTAAATAAGTTTTTTATTTAGATACATATACGTCATATTATATGTAAACATGTAGAGATTATTGCACCTCACTGAACTGATATGCTTGTATTTTCCCGTAATATAAATATGTCATGCGTTCACAAAAAGTAACTTAACTTTGGTTAGCCCATCATGTTTAACATATGTACCATAACATGTTGAAGAGTTTGTATAATTTATGTTTGCACAAACCGATGACACCTACTTGCAGTTTGCTTTTTGTCCACTGTGAGTTCCTTTTTCGTCTTTTCCATCATTTCCCCTAATTCGACGGCACTGATATTTGTTATAGCACCCAGCTTTGAGCACCTACATCTACACCTTCTTCTGTCCCGACCTGAATAATTGTATCACAGTGACATATAATCTCAGGACGTCTGCATATTTGATTTGTCGTTCACAATGTTCCTGAATAGCAGAAACAGATACCAGGTATGTTATTAGAGTTTCCCCTTCAAACAATTCAAACACGTTATACAACGTCATAAAACTAACATAATTTTATGTTAAACAAATTGCTAGAAGCCAGTCTAAAATAGTTATGAAAGACAACTTTAAAATTATACAAGTACGGATACTAAAACGAAAGGCACTATATTATATTTTTATCTCAGCTTCCAAGTATTATGAAATATCATTGTAAGAAATAAATTGCCTTAAATAAATAATTAGCCAGAGGAAATGAACTATTTTGTAATATTTAAAGTTAAATTAAAAGAACGGGTGGGACGAACATGGACACACTTAAAGTGAACAATTAAAGTACACTGTTCGTACGATTGATTTTAGGGAAACATTGTTCGTCTACATTTTGCTGGCTCTATATACAAACCAGTTGATATCGTGCATTGATCCGATTCCAGATGACTCCCAAAACAGGAAGAGCTGTCATATTGAGGAGTAGTATCGTTGCATTTCCGGCATCTTGTTCGCATTGCATTGTTATTGATGACTGAACATGCGCTCCAAGTTAGCCATGATTCCCATTCACTTTTCGCTTTTGGATGAAAAAAAATCAATTGAATTATGATTTATTTAAAACAAATGATATAAATTGATTGAAATATAACGACTGAAATTACATTAGTGCATTATGTATGCTTTTGACGAAATCATATTAAATTATTTAAGATTCGGATCAAAGTGATGCCATTTAAATGGTGCACTCTGCCAGATTTGAGCTTTACATCTATGTTGCACAGTTTGCCAATCACGTGACAAAACTGATTACGAGGGTGACCTGTAAGAGGTCACCTTAATGCCGGTAAAACGATATTTATCGACTCTGTCATAGTGATCCAGAATTCTACCAGGTATAAAACGGTAAATGGAGTTCGTTGAAGGAATGAGTAAAACATAACACTGATAATGATGCATATGTCAGTTTACAAAATAATATTTTCGCAACGATACTTTAACAAGAAGCAATAGCAAAGTGCCGTTTGCATCGTAAGTCGTATACATGTATATTGTACAAATTTACAAGAACAATTTAAAATACCTTGGCAAATGATAGTATTACAGCTAGAGGTGTCGCTATAGTCACCAACACAGTAGTCACCCCCATGACTCGGTGCTGGACTATCACAACTCCGCGTGCGTGATTTCGTTCCACCTCCACAAGTATTTGAACAGTTTGTCCAGGAATTCCAGGATCCCCATCCACCGTCCACTGTAAATAGAATATTTTGAAGCATTTCCCTACTGTTCTATAAGTAACTTTCCCGTTTAGTATTCCCTGTGTTTGATAACTGTATTCAATGTCCCCAACCTTTCTCCAGTGTAAATTTCACTTAAATGCTAATTTCTATTCAATATTACTGTTTCTAAAAACTAACAACAGACCATGTTTAGTGGAATATAGTAAACATTTTACTTAAGTAGTACAACCAACCTTCCTACAGTTTGTTTCTTGTGTTGTAATCAACCGATATAGTCGTTTCGACTTTTGTATATACCTAATACATTCATTTAACTCAATCTCTGTCTGCAATAAATTCGATTTAAAGACCTTTTACATTGCCGACATAACTTTTGATAAATCTAGTGTACTTTCCCGTAGATAAAGTCATTACCCATTAATTTTGTTTAAAAAACTTAATTGTATTGAACCTATTTCAGGGATCGATCTGTGATCTTTGTGAACGGATGACGAGAATTCTGATCTAAGTCTGGTCTGTTTATTTATATTTTATAGAACAGTTATTATTTTTCATAAAAGATCTGCAAAGTATTTTTTTCAGAAATTGTCCAATAAAGCAATGCTCATGGCAGTAAACAAGTTCTCAATTCAACTATGTGTTGGTTTTGCAGTGGTACGTGGATCCTTAAATATTCTTTTGTTTTCCACGTTTCTATTTCAGTTACAAAACAAATCCTTAAAACAGAAGATAATGAAACAGTACAGTACTACAATCATCTTGCTATTGTTTGCTTCCTTTATCATATAAACATACATTATCATTTTGACTTGTGTATCCAAAGCCCCCCTTCGCTAATGTCATGTGAAAATGAGACCTCAAGAAATGTAAAGAAGCTTGACCCAATCGATAGAGTAATTGCAACTGTCTGGTTAACAGTTGGTCGGCTAATATTCGTAATGAGCACACCTGGATTAGTTCAAAAAATATCTGAAGTCATCACCTTACGCTTCAAATACGTCAATATCGCCCTTTCTTTCAAAACAACATCCCACACGGAGCAAACCGAACTACCCGAAGTGTTACATTTATATTGGTATCGAACGAGTGCAGCGCCCATCGGCTTTGGTTATTTCAAATGAGCAGTACGTTGATTAGAATTTCCTGAAATCTATCAATACATTTTACCGGAATTCGAAACATATTTTATAGACATATCGCCTTAAATAGCAAAATTGTCACGAAAAATTAAAATTTAGTGATTCGGAGAGCATTTGCTAAAGACAAAGAATATCACATTCCAACTTTTGTTGTCTTAGCAGACACATGGGTAACTACACAAATAATTAGATGAAACAAATAATTCCTTAAAGTTCCTCAAAGCCAAAAACTCTATATGACAAATTTGTCATATTATTCAAAACAAAACACTATGGAGTTTACTTCACTCGCTGCCATTGTCATGTCAGAAACTTTCTGTCTTCATTGTCACTTTCTGTCTAGCTGTCTGACCGAGAAAAAAGATATTAAAATACTTGTTTGTGTACTCAATAATGCAGGCAAACACGCTGTTGTACGCCATGCATTAAAAATGTATAAACCAAACGAATACTGAATGATGCATGTACCTGGGCATGATGAAAATGGGCAATCACGTTCATTCTTACGATCTTCAGTACAAATTGTGCCTCCATCAAGTGGAAGTGGATTGCTGCATCTTCTGTACCTGACTTGCGTGCCCATTCCACACGACACGGAGCAGGGACGCCACTCACCCCAATGTCCAATACCTCCGTTCACTATTCATACCAAAACATGCGTTTTATTCAGAACAAATATGTTTCCAAATGGATCTTATATTCATTATAACCAGCTTACTTCATATGCAACTTTGAAATGTAAAAAGCCGCAATTTTGACTCCAGTGCGTAAGTCTGTGACATCATGTACTTGTCCAAGGCGTGACGTCACAATTGAAAACAATTTAAACTTGCAACCAATCACAGGGCTGATAGGTCATATTACATGGGTTGATACGCAAAAAAATATGACATGGTTATATTCACTGGATAACACAGTACATTATGTGATAAATATCATATCGGCCGAGTTTTTTTTTTTTATCGGGACTTGCCAAGTTTTCTGGACCATAAGCGTCATACAAATGTAATATATAGATAGTTAATTAGGGATAATATTTACAACAATACCAGAAAATCGACAACGAAGATAACAAAAACACGAACATTGCTGATAGAAAGTAAGGTAAGATTATCGTGTTGAATTCATTCACTGACATTTTAAGGAATTACTTGTTGCTTTGAGTTGCTGTTTATAATGAATATGCAAAAACCTAAGCTGGGACCTAAGTAATATTTTCAGTATACACGTAACCATTTCATGTTGTATATAAATAACATTTCCTGATAACAATAGAAATCGGGATTAAAAAAAAAATGCTACTTGTAACGATTCTCATTCTATTTTGAAATTATGCAAATTATCAGTTACTTCTAATATGCCAACATACCGTTTTCACATTGTTATATATCTTGCTAAGTGGTATGCATGCAATTGTGACCGTATATCACCCGTTAATAACCAATTATAAACAAGTATTTATAGTGAATTTTGAAAAATCCTCAGCGTTATTATAACGATATCCCAAAATATGTACGTTTGTTGTTTGTATTCTACACTTCATATATTTTCACGTAGAACAGCAGTAATTATTTCAATGCCTCCATTAGAAACCAAACTGAACCTTTGGTGTATTAGTCTAACGCTCTATCGAATAAGCTAAATAGAGAGAGGTTACTATGTTGTACTAGAGTAACATACGGGATCCTTGTTAAATATTATGTATGTTTTGTCGCAAGAATAGCACTACAGTGCTAATGTTATAATGTTACACGTATATGCGACGTTAGATAAAGCTTCATGAATCTTGAATTTTGACGTAAATATAACTCTGTTCTACCAATCATTCCGTCAAAACCAAGAAATCGATTGATTTCTGTTCTAGTAGGCTGGTTTACGTTTCATGATATCTCGTTAAATCAGATAACTATCGGCTATCGGCTATGACGTCACAAGTTCAACGCCTGTAGCGGTCACAATGGAATGAATAGGCGAGATCAAGAACAGCCATACAGCGTCAGATTGCGAATTAATAATTATTTAGGTTTTGAGGAATCAGATTATGCTGACGTCAGAGACGTATATATGTATATGTGGCTTTATATGTCTCTGGCTGACGTATACACTTTGTATTATCTGCTCTACAGTGAGAACTTAATCCATCATGTCCTCGTTAAACAGCACTATACTTCGTGACCAGAAAAATACGGAAATGTATCAGTGAAAAATATTTACAAAATAACTTCAACGTTGGTGTCTGCTGTTTTTGAATTTCAATAAAATGTATGGCATATTTGGTATTTTGTTTAATGACAAATTGACGACATTGTGTCTTCCTTATGCTAGGTCGACAATTCAAATAAACAACAAAATATCGACAGTTACACATTTAATTTCATATAATACAGTACTTATGTATGTGATGCTAAATTATATCACGGATTTAGATATTCTAATTCCGTGATTATTGTTATCTCGTAAATAAAATTGAATTAGGAGATTCAAACTTTTTTCTCTCCATATACATATAATATACACAAGCTATAATTTAACATCTTGGTTCAATAATGAAAATCATCTCGATCCACTGATTTAGCCTGCTTAGATGTGAAATTTGTGTACATGTAAATAACACTAATAACACCTGTGTCCAGTGCTGACAGCAGAACACCTATATACCTGTGTCCAGATATGACATCAAAGGGATGTCAGCAGGTTGGCAAGGGAGTACCTGAAGTTAGCTGGTAGATTGGTGTAGATTATGTGTCTTCCAATTTTCTATTTAACTACAATGTCCTCAGGCTAGATAACGGGCCTTTTTATTGTATTAAATGAAGTATTTTCATAGCTTGATCATAGCAAAACGTTCAGGGTACGCTTTAGATTGTATTTCACGCAGACAGAGTTTTCATTAAACTGTCTCTATAAGTTAAGTGCTTTGTTTGCTACTCTTATTGATATTGTGTGAAAATATACTTTTTGTGTATTTACATATATATAAGGACTTCAGTAAGTTGGCAAAATTTGTGTCCAATTCGTTGTCGACATCTGTTATTTGCAATAAAATATGTTTAAATCAAATAAGGTTACATTCTCCAAGCTAGTGCAAACTGCTACAGATTAAAGTTTCCTTGTGAAAGTATGATGGCGTAAATGGGGACAAGTACAGTTCTGCTGCAGTTTTAAGTGTAACTGGACTAGTTTGTTAAATTTTAAGCTACGCTATATCGCCGCCATTATAAATAGGTCAGTGAAATAAGAGTTTTGTACTTACCTTTCGAGTTAGGTACTGAAACGAAATAAAACCATAAATGCATATGCCTACATTATCAAATGGTTAAACTTGATTGTGATATGTAAAACGATGATGCGACCAGATAAATGTTTCAACATTTTCTTAAAACAAGTCACATTGGATAAGTTTCTTACGGTTTACTCTAGATGGAGAAAAAAACAACCATTTAGAACCCTGCAGACAAATATATAACAGCAAAACGACAACCTGATCGCTAATGTACTGCTAGATATTAGTATTCTTGAATGTATATTCTAACATTTTATATCATTATATCATATTTTTTGGATAATTCAGAAAAGGCATATAGCTAAAGGTTATTTATCATTATGTTCAATATTGTATAATAAAGATCCGTGTTCCACTCCATTGCCGATTACTTTTCGTATATAAACAGATCTTCCTTTAATTTCACAATTTGCCAGGACGCTTCCGTTGTTCAGATAGAGCAAGGTATTTGAGCGAAATTACTGCAATCTGAAATTCTGGGTTCAATTCACAGACTAGCTTCGGTAAGGTCAGGACTCTGTTATTGATTTATATCTTGTTTATTTTGATTATAATCAAACAAAGCATGCAAGTATTTCTTTTCAAAAATAATTCCGAAATATTTAACAACAAATAAGCCACTAAATTTTAAAATTTAGATTGTGCTGCATTGCCAATACAGCACCACACAAACTGATCTAAACACTGGCACACATAGACAGGAGTAACTGACGAGCCACAAACAATAAATACACCCTAAAGCCAAGCATTCGTCATGATGTCGGTTCAAATACGTGAACTCATGTAGGTTACGACTCAACACATTGTGAACACATTTTAATCTTACGGACGGAAATCAGAACAGCGCCAATGACTTTTAACATGTGTTTAACACATCTAACATTAGAAAACATAATATATACCATAAACGGATATGTAGTGATATTTAGAGCGATATAAACACATCGCCAACAGAGAGCCTGTAGACTGTCTCGATGGAGAAGAGGTGTACCTGTCATTTAAGCTTGAAAAACTCTTTGCCATATTAAATGTGCGCTATTATGGATTAAGATTATACTACCATCAATGATTGATATTTATTTAAGTATTACCATTCTTCTTCTCATTATTATAATCATAGCTAACTTGTTATGTATTTCTAAACATTTTCTTGCGGTTGAGTTGTAGAAAGGTTATGTTTCGCAGTCAGGTAAGTGTTTATGTGTCGTTTCGATGACTAGTATGGTGTGTACCCCGTCATCTGGATCAGACAAATGACTAGCGAAGCGCATGTATAGAAAAGTGTAAAATATTTACGAGTTAGCAATATATATAAAAGATGTCGATTCAGATACGCTATCAGCGTATATACTGTACCCCTAGTTGTTATACATGTAAGAAATGATTCACAAACCGAAAATTCGATTCGGCTACGTTTTGTTCAATACCTAGAAACTGAAATAATGCAAGACACTGGACCATGCTGTGGCTGATCAACTGCAATCCCAGGTTTCGAAATCGACCAAGTTTCCAACAAGTAATATTACGAAAGATGATAGGCTCGGACTTACTAAATTAAGCAGGGACAAATCTATTCCTATATTTACAGCTGATAAGGGCAAAGCAACGGTCATCATGGTCACCGACTAATAGTAATCCTGTCTAAATTAAAACAAGAGAGCAGGATGACCGAATCCCAATATAGGTACCTGTATCCCATTGCAGAAAACACCAATATCATGTATTGTACACCGAAGATATACAAACAAATCAATGGGGCCACTGGGACCTATTACGGACTTCAATGGATCCCTTGGTTATAATGATTCAATGTCTTTAGCAGACATCCGCTTGTAGGTAAATCGGAACAACATGTCAACATTTTGAAAATATAGCGGAAACCATGTCCACGGTCATTCAGGGCTCACGCTGTCGGTACTTTTATTTTTTATTGGCTACTAAAAATTCGATGTGGCTACTAAATTGACTACTAAGGTTTTAAAAATGGGGAAACTCTGCATCTTTGTCCCAGAAAACGATCCGTCTACATGAACTCACGTGTGTATTGTGGCTGACACTGATTGCGTAAACATAATCAGGACGGTCACAGATCAGCGCGCGCTGTACGACTGCGAGTTAATTAATGCTTTTGTCTAAGTTGTAAAGTCAATTATCAAGTTTCAGATGGCAAAAGGTGTTATAATTCTTGTACAATAATGGACAGTGGGGTCAAGTGAATTGGATGACCCATTGACGTTGAGAAAACAGTCTGATAAGCGAGTCACACATAGGTGGTCTCTAGCTCGCACACGTACATTTGACGGCGCCGTATTAATTATCTGACATTATTCAGAATTGTGAGACATGCACTTGAACGGACAGGTTCCCCCTCTGCAAGATTCTTAAAATTGGTGTGTATACTTGTTATGTGCCGATGCATTTATTTTGTCAATTCCAATCGTATAACTGCATATTGTAAGAAACGGGTGGGGAGCGCTTACGTTAATTTGACTCAATTTTTGAAAATTTACATTGTGTTGTATGTGTATGTCAAATTTTCTAGAGATCAATTTAATAACAAAAAGTATAACATTTACAGCCACTAGATTAATGAGTTATGTAAAAACACGGATTCATTTAGATAGCATCCGCACGTGTGTTCGGACACCCGCATACAGCGCATCGTTTGCCTCTTCAGTAGGAACTCATTTCATCACTAAAATTGTAAAATAGAATAATTCATATGTATGTAGTGCTTTAAATATTACCTGCACAAGTAAATGACGACGGGATATATCATATACATAGCTAAAAAGCCCACATACCGAACGCACGATCAAAGCTTCCCGGTATATTCATATAGAGCTGTTTTGACAGCGTTGATCTTGTGATGTCACCGATGTGGGCTACCAATATATATCGAGGCGATCGCCGCTGAGCCAAAGGTGTGTTTTTCAGATAAATCACAATATCTCGGAAACGGGGTCAACTACGACGTTCGCACTTTCTTAGCCTTTTTATTATATTAAATGAAGTATTTTCATAGCTTGATCATAGCAAAACGTTCAGGGTACGCTTTAGATTGTATTTCACGCAGACAGAGTTTTCATTAAACTGTCTCTATAAGTTAAGTGCTTTGTTTGCTACTCTTATTGATATTGTGTGAAAATATACTTTTTGTGTATTTACATATATATAAGGACTTCAGTAAGTTGGCAAAATTTGTGTCCAATTCGTTGTCAACATCTGTTATCTGCAATAAAATACGTTTAAATCAAATAAGGTTTCATTCTCCAAGCTAGTGCAAACTGCTATAGATTAAAGTTTCCTTGTGAAAGTATGATGGCGTAAATGGGGACAAGTACAGTTCTGCTGCAGTTTTAAGTGTAACTGGACTAGTTTGTTAAATTTTAAGCTACGCTATATCGCCGCCATTATAAAAAGGTCAGTGAAATAAGAGTTTTGTACTTACCTTTCGAGTTAGGTACTGAAACGAAATAAAACCATAAATGCATATGCCTACATTATCAAATGGTTAAACTTGATTGTGATATGTAAAACGATGATGCGACCAGATAAATGTTTCAACATTTTCTTAAAACAAGTCACATTGGATAAGTTTCTTACGGTTTACTCTAGATGGAGAAAAAAACAACCATTTAGAACCCTGCAGACAAATATATAACAGCAAAACGACAACCTGATCGCTAATGTACTGCTAGATATTAGTATTCTTGAATGTATATTCTAACATTTTATATCATTATATCATATTTTTTGGATAATTCAGAAAAGGCATATAGCTAAAGGTTATTTATCATTATGTTCAATATTGTATAATAAAGATCCGTGTTCCACTCCATTGCCGATTAATTTTCGTATATAAACAGATCTTCCTTTAATTTCACAATTTGCCAGGACGCTTCCGTTGTTCAGATAGAGCAGGGTATTTGAGCGAAATTACTGCAATCTGAAATTCTGGGTTCAATTCACAGACTAGCTTCGGTAAGGTCAGGACTCTGTTATTGATTTATATCTTGTTTATTTTGATTATAATCAAACAAAGCTTGCAAGTATTTCTTTTCGAAAATAATTCCGAAATATTTAACAACAAATAAGCCACTAAATTTTAAAATTTAGATTGTGCTGCATTGCCAATACAGCACCACACAAACTGATCTAAACACTGGCACACATAGACAGGAGTAACTGACGAGCCACAAACAATAAATACACCCTAAAGCCAAGCATTCGTCATGATGTCGGTTCAAAAGGTGAATAACACCACTAACTTTTATAAAAGTTTACATACACATATTTACAAAGTGGGTGAGAAAAGTAAACGTATGTACAGAAAAAGTGTATAAAAGAAGAAGCAAAATAAGTGTTCGAATAAAAGGGAGATAATTAAATTTAAAAAAAAAAGAGAGCAAAAAAGTAATAATAATAATAATAGTAAAAAAGCTCGATGATGAAAGGGATCGGTGCGAAAAGGACCAGATATGATTTCAAGATTCAAATCAACAGCACATACTAATAAAATCATGAAAGTTAACACCATATTATTATAATAATCTCTATTTATTTGATTGTATATCTGTATAGCTATATACCTGTATATAAACAGGCATAATTAAATATAATAAAAGCAGTTATTTATAAGAGAGCCAACACTCTGAGTACATAGAAAAAGTCAAAAAATAATATGTAAAGTGTGAGAGGGATATTTTGCCCCCGCAACTTGTTTCAGGCGACTTTGGTTTGATTATCAATACTTACAGCTAAAGTATGTGACGTTGTGACAATTTAGATGAATCATGGAAAATGTCGTTCGGTATATGTTATAGAACAAAGGAAGGATTTCATATACAATACAATTGACAGACTAAGTGTTTGACATTACCTGAAGGGGAACACGATATATCTATATCGCTTAATTTATAAAATAACGTAGAATCACTTGAACAACGCTTTAGAGATCCCCTACCACAATCCTTTCTGCACTTAAAACTGTGTGCAAAATCACCCTACAAAGAAAATGCATGAATTATGTGCCTTTGGTTGATATTGAATGTTGTGTAAACGGAATAGAGTTTTCTAATAACATGGCACCAATTAATATATTTTATTGAGACACCACCTTGTGGCGTTTTACGTATTAGGCATGTTAGTTCATTAAGTTAGTTTACAGTTGCAGTATTGATGTGGTTAATATTACATTTGTTCACCACATTCAACCTGGAGTTCAAAATGAAACACGTTCGTATTTACACCTCTATATATAATCAAGTTTTTATCGTCCATAAGTTGCTTGAATAGATGTAGCTAAACCAATATTTTAATTTCTGGACGACACATTGCTATTATCCTTTCAGATTATTGAAATAATTTGTCTATCAAAAGTTTACCATATCTTCCAATTCCTAAGTAGGTGACATTCACGTTATTGTATTTATTACGTTTTTATCAGTTTTCTATATAAACATGACGCGAATACAATCTATATGTAATACACGATACTTACAAATTATCTAAACTGCTTACTAGTATTAACATGAAACTGAGGCAGATCCACATTTAGCTTTTACAATGCAAATGAATTTCAAATCATTTGTTCTATCATGCTCATGATTATTCAAGAAACACACCTGTCATGTCTCTGTAAAACAAATCTCTGAAATATCTGTATTATGCATGCTTCTGACATATTTCCTACACTCTGTTTATGCCTAACATTAACTTTTCTACTGAACTTGGACTCTATATACATGTACCTACTAAAGCGTATAGAAATATTTTCCCATAAATATATCAATGAGTGTATGAATACGTAAGTAAATAAGTGCGTAAAGTAGTCCCATGTATACATAGTTTTCAATTAGTTTTCTCAGAAGTATCGGATTGAAATTAAAATGTAGTTTTATATAATATTGTTTTAAAGTTTCAATTAATAAAAAAAACAGCTACAGACCCTGGACCGTTTTCCTTGTCCGTTTAAACGCAAACGCAACGCAAACGGAACGCAAACGCAACGCAAACGGAACGCAAACGCAACGGAAACTCAACGCAAACGGAACGGAAACGCAACGCAAACGCAACGGAAACGCAACGCAAACTCAACGCAAACGCATACAGACCGTTTGGTTAAACACGCTCCTAAAACGCAGTTCATAGCAGACAAATAACGGACATAGATTTAGATGTACTTGCTCGCGGAAGCGTGTCGGTCTCTGACCCTAACTCTGATCTGTATTTACCTATACAGCGCTCGCTTGTTATTTGCACAGCGGCGCATGCAGATGTACTTATAGGCAACATATTCCCCGTCAGCACCAACAAAATAATTTGGAATGATGGTATCCGCTTGGAACTCAACAGTACATTACATTTAGCATCTAATCATTAAATCTACACGACGTAAAAACACATTCCTTTTTATGAATTCATAAGATTAAAAGTATATTTGATGTTGGTGGTTTCTCACTTATCTTTTATTTTAATTTCTATATTTTCCCCAAATATTATTTCAAGGTGAAGTTACGGGAATAGTCTTGAACAATGGTTCTTCGACATCAACAATACATATGGATACGTCTAGTGGGTAGTTCATTTTTTTAGTCTCAAATTCTGAATTTGTTGCTAAAAAATCTTTCAATCAATTTGTCGAAAAATAATAAACAACCCAAACTAAATAACGTACGTGTAATTGTTTGTTTTTATTTAAACTAGGCGATCGCAAATGTTCAAAAGGAGATGAAATATGAAACTTGTGTTTGGAAAATATTGGATATGAATATCATCATATGCATAAAACAAGTGAATGTGATGCATAGAGTATTATTCCTGTATCATCTTACGAATCCAACTGAAATGCTGCAAGCGAATTCCGTGTAATTATTGGTATTTTTTCTCTTAAAATCGCCCTTCTCTACTTATATCTCAAACAGGTATAATTCTTATGATATTCTCTTTAGTGGTATTATTTGATAATTATAATCAGTATTTATATGAATGATATTGAAGCCGGAGCGTTAGTGATATGTTTCTTACAACATAACATACATGTATACATTATATGCACCCTGTTACGCTTAATCATACTCATTGCTGTACCCACGGACTCAAAAAATCTAATTCCATGCTGTACCCTCAAGTTACACAATTTCATTTGTCTGAGTGATGAAAACATAATCTGAAATCTGAATTACTTGTGTAATTCCCTCCTTAAAACAGCCTTGAACCAAAGTTTTTTTTATTGCTTTCTCTTGACAGTCATTTTGAAAAGTATATTGCACAAACAGCACTGATTTCACTATCCTAAACAATAGCGAATTAATCCCAACTATCATCTGGTCTTTGCTGTTACCTGGCCTTACATTTATTATTATTTAAACGTGTGGTCACCCCTGTTACCTGCGGCTATTGTAAGACCACAAGGTTACTACCTGTGGTTTCAGGCACAGGGACCCGGGAATTTGCTACAGTTGTTTGTTTGGACCTATCGCGCCGTATAGTAATATTAGATGTTCTTCTTCTTCTTCTTCTTCTTCTTCTTCTTCTTCTTCTTGTGATAAGGCGTCATGTAGATTAACTTAATCTGAGAATTTAGGAAGTATAAATTAGATGTTTTAGTGGTTAACACTATTTCTCGAAATAATTGCCGCCCCTCCTTCTAACCGCACACAAGAAATGTACCCTGAACGTTTTGCTATATCAAGCTATGAAAATACTTCGTTTAATACAACCATAGGCTAAGAAAGTGCGAACGTCGTAGTTGACTTCGTTTCCGAGAAATTGTGAAATATATCTGAAAAACACACCTTTGGCTCAGCGGCGATCGCCTCGATATGGGTAGCCCACATATGTGACGTCACAAGTTCAACGCTTTCAAAACAGCCCTATACCGGGAAGCTTTGATCGTGCGTTCGATATGTGAGCTTTTTAGCTACTTATATGCTATATTCCGTCGTCACTTGCTTGTGTAGGTTATATTTAAGGTACTACATACATATATTTTGTTTTCCACATTTTAATGAAGAAATAAGTTTCTACTGAGAAGGCAAGTGATGTGCTGTAATGCGGGTATCCGAACACACATGCGGATGCTATCTAACTGAATCCGTGTTTTTACATAATTCGTTAATAGTGAATGTAAATATTATACTTTTTATTATTTAATTGATCTCTAGAAAATTTGATGAGCACCTGTATACAATACAAAGCAATTGAGTAAAAAATTGAGTCAAATTAACGTAGGAGCACCCCACCCTTTTCTTTACAATATGTAGATATACGATTGAAACAGACGAAAACATGCACCGGTACAATCATTTATGCTCAAATTGAGCAGCAACCCGAGTATTTTTACCCCCAGTTATAAAATCTTGAAACTTTTTTTTTATTCTTTATGCAATCCATGGAATTTAACACACAATAGCTATACACACCAATTAAAAATTATCTTGCAGAGGGAGAACCGGTCAGTTCAAGTCTCACAAAGATTAGTAATATATAATGTGCATAACATGGTCCAGCATTATTTGCCTTGTTACTGACTTTCATCTGTCCGGTGATGCAGTTGTACTGACTTTGATTTGCATATAATGTGACTCTTTGGCAGTACATTTTATTTATCTTTTTCTTGAAATTGATCCTTATACCAGAGACGTAATATATACGTCTCTGCTTATACATATCCCTGTTATCTAGACTGAGGACATTGCAGTTAAATGGAAAAATGGAAGACACCTAATCTACACCAATCTACATACTGATTATTATATTTCTAACTGCTCTATCGCATGAATATGTTTATATGATTCCATGATAAAATGAGCATATTTTAGCAAAGATATGGTTTATTTATAAGTTTATATTTTAGATGAATTATGTGATAATTTACTACTGTTAATTAAATATTTATAGTGTTGATAAATATGTTTAACATGTGTGTATTCTACTGTTGATTTAGGCAGTTATGAATGTAATATGCAATTAGTTGAGACGTAAATAAATGTAAACAAATCAATATAAATATACTAACTGCAGGTACCCCCTAGCCTACCCGCTAACATCCCTTTGATGTCATACCTGAACACAGGTATATTGGTGCGTCTTGGGCCTCCTGCTGTCAGCACTGGACACGGGTGTTGTTTAGTGTTATTTACCTGTACACAAATGTCACACCTAAGTAGGCTAAGGGAGTGGATTGAGACGATTTTCATTATTGAACCAAGATGTTAAATTATAACTTGGGTTTATTACATGTATATGAAGAGAAAAAGTTTGAATCTTATAGAGAGGTATTGATGACGTCACAAACCCGGAGGCAACGAGAGTTGTCCGCCATGTTGGATTACACACATACTTCCAAGATGGCGGATCGACGTAAACCAAAACGCCCGTACATTGAGACACTTGATGCCGCTGCAAGACAAAGATACATCGCCAAAACTTCAACTATTGGAAATCTTGATCCATACACGATCGACACCAATAGATTTAGCACTGATGCATCTATTCTTCCATCTGTTTCCTACCCAGACATTGTCAACTTCTTACTGTATAGCCCAAGCCCATATACTCTGGAAGATTTACGATGTTACAAAGGACTCGCTGCCTACAATCAGTTTGTGAACGGCTGGGTACGAGACGTTAGAGCCACAGTTATAGATGGATATCATCTTGTGTTAGGCAGAGTGAGTTTTTTTATTTTTAAATTGATAAAAGTTTGTTTTACTGAAAGCCATGTAATGTGGCTAGATGAACGTAAACATTGATTGATACAGTAGCCGTAGGCCTAGGGCTACTCAGGCGTAACGTAGACTATTACTAGCTATATAGCTAGCATGCACTGTCCGTAAAATCATGTTTTATAATACATGTAGACTTGAGGCCTCATTGAAATAAAATAAATGACAATATCTCACTGGGTACAGAAACTCGGAAAGTAATAACTGAATTACATTAGTATTATATTGCAGATACATAACCTGTTTTCGGTGTATCCATGCCACATGCATGGTTGCCTTTTTCATGTAGGTTTTTTTTGTTCAATGGGTTGAAAGGGGTTGTTTAAATATATTGCAAGAGTAAACAAAAGGTTTGACATTCAGTCAGTGAATAACTGATTATAGTTTATCAATGGAACATAATTACATATACAAAAAGTGCTTCTATATCAACTGTATACATAGATACATGTATAGTACATTGTATATAAGATTGATGATCAATCAATTATCAATTTTATTAATAAATGGTATGGAATGAAAATTGCTCTTGTAGTCTCCATATCTGGTACACTGAGTAATTAGATCTACTATAAATATAAATTTTACATTATTTTTGGTTGTATTTCAACTCATATTGTTACTTCAATTTTCAGGTTATGCACTCACAGAGATTATCTGAAACACCACTCAAGCCTTGGGTTATTGCTGAAAATTCCGGGAAAATCAACAGCTGTCATTGTGATTGTGTAGCAGGACTTGGTGAAACATGCACTCATGTAAGCGCCTTATTGTTTTATGTGGACACTAAAGTGAGAATACGGGATTCTGCAACGGTGACTCAGTCAGCAGCCTACTGGAAATTACCGGCCAGTGTACGCGGTGCATCATATCTGCCAGCCTTTGACGTTGATTTTACTTCTTCAAAGACCAAGAAAAAACAGCTAGATAGTCTAGTGGGCAACAATGTGAATCTAACACCAGGAAAAAGACAAATTAGACAGGTTGAGGCACCAAGCCAAGAAAGAGTGAACTCGCTGTTTGAAGCACTGAAGATCAGAGGCTCCAAGGCAGCTGTGCTCAGAGTTGTGCCTGGTTATTCAGAGGACTTTGTTCCAGATGCTGCCAATCCAAATTTTCCTTCGGTGTTAACAGATCTTTATTCAGGAAACTTCACATCGTTATCCTTAGATGAACTTATCAACAAATCTGAAGAAGTCACCGAAAGCATCAATGTAACAAAGGAAGAGGCCAGGTCCGTGGAGGAGGCAACGCGACCTCAATCCAAAACTAAACTTTGGAATAAATTTCGTTCTGGAAGATTGACTGCCTCCAAAATCAAGAAAGTTTGTCGCACCAGTATTCAGCATCCATCGCGATCATTAATACAGAGTGTTTGCTACCCAGGTAACAATTCTTTCGCTAACAATGCAACAAAATGGGGCCTTGAACATGAAGAAACAGCCAAGAAAGCATACCTACAACGAATGGAGGAGACCCATGATAATTTTAGAATGACACAGTCTGGATTTGTAATCAATCCAAAGTTCCCCCTGTTTGGTGCATCACCTGATGCATTAATTAGCTGTGACTGTTGCGGTTCTGGTGTTCTGGAGGTAAAATGTCCCTACAGTGGTATAGGAATGTCAAGTCTAGAATACGCTGAATCAGCAAAAAATCCTTGTGTCATGAAGTGTGGCGATTCTCTGACTCTAGGTAGTCACCATGACTACATGTACCAAGTACAATGCCAAATGCATGTGTGCGAGGTAGACTATGCCATTTGTGGTGTGGACAGACATGGACATGCACATTGAACGAGTGGAGGCAGACCAAGATATGAGGTGCGAAATAAGAGAAAAAGGCAAGGAGTTTTCCGTGAAGTGTGTGTTTCCCGAACTTTTGGGAAAATATTTTTCAAAATCAGAAGTGAATGTTCTAAATACTAGTACATGTATGTCCCAAAACAGTCAGCACAAGGAAGTTCCCAAAGTGGTGAAAGATGTTGGACAGTCTGAGCTATACTGCTTATGTAAAGGTCCTGAAGAAAACACCATGATAGCATGTGACAATGAGAATTGTGCCATTGAATGGTTTCACATCAGTTGTGTGAATTTGAAACGTGTGCCAAAAGGACGCTGGTTCTGTTCTGAGTGCAGGAGCAACAACGGAAAATCACTTAAATGTTCGAAATATAAAAATTAGACTAACTGTTTCTTCATTTATATACCATGGCCACCATATTTGATTTAAAAATGCTTTAAAGACAGTTCAAAATTTTTTATTATGCTATATTAATAATATATTTTTGCATGTTATAGATGATTATACATGTAAATTAACAACTTGCATAAATAAAATTACTGTGAATAATATAGTCAAATCTGCCTTTGAATCAGTGCATACATATCAAAAATATATCCATAATTGTACAACACGTATGTGTATTGAAATTTTATAATAGTCGATTTAATAACATGTATATGCATATGTGTACCAATATACAAGGTACAGTTCACATCAAATATTATATGTATACTTGAAAGAGGGCACTGTCAATTTAATTGACTACAACAGCAGGCATATAATCATGTACAATAGTATCTTATATAAGTTATGTAGAGTACATCTGTAAAAACTACATGTATATGTATTCATGCTATTGTTGAAAATTATAAGAAATAATTTTAAGATATCATCATGACGATAGAAGAAATGTCTGAAAATGTCAATGGGTTAATCATATTTGCATTATTTTCATTAATTTTTGTACACCGCTTGCATTGCCTCATACAATTTACTCTGAACTTAAATTATACTGTATTTATCTGGCAATAAACCCACATCTTTCATTTGTTATTGTTAATGCAGCATACACTAATATAATCATGAGGAGTAATAAGAACACGGTCAAATTTGTTTCACTGGGTTTATATATATATATACATGTAGGATTATCCGATAAATATGGTTAATTATGGTTCAAAGATTGTCCAGAAACTCATCAGTTGACTTGGTGTATTGTAAGTAATTACATGTACAATAACATATCTTGTTCTAGAAATCTGATTTTTATATTGAATTTTAATTTTAACACAGTTTCAGAAAGAATAATAAAAATTGAAAGTTCAACACATTTTTAGTCGAGTTTTTTTCTTCAAGTTATATATATCAATATATGGCAGCAATAATACTGTTTAACTGTTCAAGTTCAGTTCCTATAATCACAATATCAGTCCAATGGCACCACTGAAGGACACAGATTTGTCAAACAACATGCAACAGATGTAATTTTGTCCAGCGTTGTTAGCTTTAAACTTGAGTCACATGCCATGAATTCAAGAGGGATGGTTGATTGGAGAATGGTGTATTTTTGTCTAAGGGATCCAATAACACGCTCAACATGAATTCTAACATTGGCTAAACGTCTTGTTGACTCTACTTCATTTCCACTAAGTTGCGGCTTTCCTTTGGTAAAGGCCGGAATTTTTAATTCTGCTCCCATCATTGCTACACTGTCATTGATATTGAATCCTCTGTCAGCCAATACCACATCTCCTGGGTTCAACTTTTCTAAAATGTCACAATGTTCAGTTAAGTGCTTTTCACTGGTACGCCCACCCCATCCGGAAGATATGTATGATATACTACCTTGAGGTGTTATCCCAATCAAATACTTGATGGTGTTGTTATGCTTGTAACTGGACCATGTGCACGCTCGGGCAGAGACAGAGGATGGCCGTTCTAAAAACACCTCAAAACAGTCTATAATTACCACTACTTTTGTTCCAAAATGAGTACGAAAACTCATGGGAGTAGATTGTTTCAACTGCTCACGTTCTGGCCACACAATTAAGGGCTTGAGTTTCACATGCAGGATATCCAACATATCCAGGAACACTCTGCTCGCGGATGACTTTGTTACACCAAACTTCTGTCCTAAATCAGCAATCCAATTATATTTTTGAGATAAATATATTCACGGAATTAGATTGTCTAAGTCCGTGATATAATTTAGCATCGCATACAGAAGTACTGTATTGTATGAAAATAAATGTGTGTCGGTATTTTGCTTTTTAATTGAAGTGTCGACATAACCAGAGACGTATATACTACTGGCTTTATATGTCTCTTACTTAACATAAGGAAGACACAATAACGTCAATTTGTCATTAAACGGTAATACTGAAAATATGCCATACATATTATTGACATTCAAAAACAGCATATACCAACGTTGAAGTTATTTTGTAAACATTTTTCAATGATATATTTCCGGTTTTTTTTTGGACCGTAGCGGTGCCACAGTATGTGACTGGAGAGCAGAGAATATAAAGTGTATACGGCTGTGTAGAGTAAAGAAAAAGATTGCAAACTGACTTTCCAGCTTAAAATAAAGAATCATTTTTGATCGACAACATTGAGAGTATTTGCCAAAGTTCTCATCAGTGCTCAGAATCAGGACACGCAATGATTCCAGTGTGTGTTAATAATAACATACAGCAGTTGTTATAGCGCTCTATCTAGCTAACATATAAGCCACTCTAAAGCGCTTTACAGTACATATATATACAATTAATACAATTAGCATTTACATTAATCAATTCAATTTTGAGGAATTCGCAGGAGCTGCCTTATCAGGCGCTAACTATGAGTCCTATGCCACCTGGCTAATATCTCCCTATGTATGTATGCTGGAGATGTGATGTGTTATGTTTGTAGTGGGACCGTGCTTCCAACGGCATCATTTAAAGTGACACCTCACTTGAATGCTACAGCACAGATACCGCAACATCCACCCCAGACCATGTTATACTACACCTGGTTTGTTGGAGTTGTGTGGGCAGGAGAAAAACACTTTTTCTGATATTCCATGCGTCCGACGACTTCGAGGATCGAACCCCGGCCGCCTGCGTGGAAGGCCGAAGTGTCCGTCCT